CATCCTGGTATTCTTTTGACCGTAAAAGCTAATAAAAAGATTTACAGGGGACAAAACTATATTTGACTGTGTCGGTATGCATTAAAAACTATACATATAATTATTTAGATATTTATGTTATAGTAATCGAAAAATGTAATTATGTCTATAGTCGATATCTTCGGATATTCATCAATTATCTCCGTAACTCCTGGATTCCATTAATACTCGTGACGATTTGCCTATTTGATTCCCCGGCAAAATTCAAAGATAAACGACAACGTAGTTTAAGCTTGTGTTCGTTTTTTCCCCCACTGGGAACATAAACTATACTGAAACTCTATAGTTTACGTTACGTAAATTATAGACTTTCAGTATAGTTTATGCTCCCGGTGGGAGAAAACAAACGCAGGCTAAATACGTCGCTGACCTGCAAAACGTCCTTTCGCGCCAAATGGCGCTCCCACGCGATTTCAGCGCCATATTGATGACACTCGGCACGCAACAGGGCGTGAGTTCCCTTCACGACGTCAGCCAAGCGTTTATGCTCGTCTGTCGCCATACGATTGCCAAGTCCACTTTTCTTTCTTTTCCGTACGATATTCGAGCGGGCGATGAACACGTCCGATATATCTTGCCAGTGCCTGCGCGTTTCGCCACGTTCACGTTTTATTACCTTAAACAAAGTTGAATCAAACAGGGGTTAACTTCTGCGCTACTTACACGATTGGTATACGCATACACATACTTCATACCCTTTTAGTTTACATTCTACACGTATACTGACGAGATTCCAATTCAATTCTATGATCCCTGACTTGCCGACACTGATTTTAATATTATAACGTGATTGTGGTCAAACTGCCGCCACAAATGCTTCCAAGTATTTTACTTTTCCTTTCTATCAATAAAGGTAAAAGGAGAAGAGAAACGATGCGAAGCATTTGTAGCGGCGGCTTGACCGCAGCCTGACTGTTGCGTCAGACTTTGACTGTATAACTTTGATCTAACGAGAAAGGAGAAAGAGGAAAAACAGAGAAGAAAAATTAAGTGTATACTTGCAAATAATATTCGATATCGACACAGGGTAACTTGCCGACCTTGTCGGTATCAATTTCCGAATTGCTCCATCGCGGCGTAAGTGTCGCAGCTCTTTAAAAGATGGATATATGTAATATATTGACAAACAGATCTTTGATGATCTTTGAGAGCACGCGATTCCAACTGAAATGAGATTGGGAACAGAGACAGAATGAGCGACTACAATTAATTAAAGTATATACATTTTTATAACATGTTATCCCTGTTGTTCGTATCGACAACGGACACTTATTTCACTTGTATAATTTAAATATTCTCTCGCATAAGTATACCTCTTTTGTGTACCATAGTATTAAATATCACTTGCGTTAAATGAACACAGTATACGCGAATTTTTATCATTTTCCAGATCTAGTATTTAAAATGTTGCACGAGATCTTATTGTCACTTTGGGGATGCTCGACCAGTGTATCGCAAATAATACAGACAGATGTGAGTGCACGTTGTACAATGTAACAAGAAGTAATATGTAAATTAAGCAATATACATAATTTTAATTATTGCGCTACCTTTACGTGCTTCTCGCCAACTTTCTCATCCAGTCTGTAGATCTCGACAAATACTTACATCCCGGAGAACGAGCGCTGCTCGGCAGGATATTGGACATTGTGAAGGAGTGCAACGTCGTGCGAGACTTCATACACGCAGTGAGCAGCGAGGATGCGAAAGGTTCGAGGAGAAGCGGGATGAAACACATTTTACGCGGTTGACGTTTCGCATTCAGTTTAATCGTTTTGTCCCGCAGAATGCGTGGCTCCCGGTTTGTATATACGCGCTCTGTGCGATGGAATGGATCAAGCGCTGGAGCCGTTTCGCGAAGAAATCATCGAATTGGAGAATACGGTCTTGAACGACCGCTACACCCCGCTGTCGTTGATTCTCTGCAGCGTTGAAAAGTACACCTGTCTGTTTTCCGTACTGAATTCCATCATTCGTGAGGTGATTATACGCTTCTCCAAGAAAGAGATTTTATATCGGCTAGTTTTCGCTCCGGTTAAATTCGCTTGCTTTTCTGCATTTAGGATTAAAGAGTTGCGTTTTCTCCATTCCACTTTGTAGCAATGTTATTTCACGTGCGCTGTTTAATAAGAATTTCCACGCAAAGCAATTCTTATTACGGTATCGAATAGAATAGCTCCTGTCACCAAGTATCGTTTGTGCTGAAAGAGAGAATGAT